ACGCGTGTGGTCCCCGCCCGCCTCACAACACCGCGTGCGGTGCGCTGGGCGGCGGGTCAGCTGACGTCCGTGTGACCCCGCGCCGCCAGAGTGCCCAGCTGCGGCCGGTGGATGCCGTCATGGCGCGCGTCGGAGCCGGAGACTGCCAGATGAAGGGCGTCTCGACCTTCATGGCGGAGATGCTGGAGACGGCCGCCATTCTCAGGGTGGGTGCCGGGCGGCAGAATTGTGGCGTTGTGGTGTTCGGATATATTAAGACCAGCACAACTTCGTACTTGATTTTGCAGTACTCCATCCTGTGAAAGAAGACCGTGACCGAATGCTATTTTCTATGCATTTTGCACTGGCAGAATTTGGCTCCAACCTCCAATGCTTTGTTTATGACACCAAAGCGGCGTTTGCGATTTTCAGAAATTCCCGAAATCTGTGGAAATTGCCCGAAGTCCGCTCATAAAAAGAATTCGCTGTAGATGCTCGGCACATGCGCTGCTCTCGAATGAGTAGCTCAGTGTCTGATAAAATTAACGTGTTTTGTTAAATAACGCAGTGAAGTTGTTTGTATCAACAATGTATTTGTCCACAGAATGTTTTGGGGAACCAGCGCATTACTTTCGACTTAAGACTGAACGTGTCCCATATGGTCACTTCGATTGTAACCCAATCGATGGGCACTGGAGCCATGTTGGGTCTGTCTGGCGGCTGTGTCAGCGTTGTGCGTCCGTTTCAGTCGGCTACCAAGGACTCCCTGATCGTCATCGATGAGCTGGGCCGCGGCACTTCCACTTACGACGGCTTCGGACTAGCATGGGCCATCTCAGAGTGAGTAACGGCCGACGCCGGGTCCCGGCTGCTCCGCCGATCCCAGCTGCTCCGGTCTAGGCTGCTCCCCCGGTCCCCTCCGGTCCCGGCTGCCCCGCCTATATCCCCTCCGGTCCCGGCTGCTCCGCCGGTCCCAGCTAGTCCCGGCTGCCCCGCCGATCCTCTCCGTCCCGGCTGCTCCGCCTATCCCCTCCGGTCCCGGCTGCTCCGCCTATATCCCCTCCGGTCCCGGCTGCTCCGCCTATATCCCCTCCGATCCCGGCTGCTCCGCCTATATCCCCTCCGGTCCCGGCTGCCCCGCCTATATCCCCTCCGGTCCCGGCTGCTCCGCCTATATCCCCTCCGGTCCCGGCTGCTCCGCCTATATCCCCTCCGGTCCCGGCTGCTCCGCCTATATCCCCTCCGGTCTCGGCATGCTCCGCCTATTATCCCCTCCGGTCCCCGGCTGCCCCGCCTATAGCCCCCTCCGTTCCCGGCTTGCTCTCGCCTATATCCCCTTCCGGTCTCGGCTGCGCCCGACTATAATCCATCCCTCCGGTCCCGGTCTGCTGCTCCGCCGATATCTTCCCTCTCCTGCTTCCTCCGGGCCGGCTGCTGCTCCGCCTTATCATCCCCCCCGGTCCCGGCCTGCTTCGCCGATCATCTGCCGGTCCCGGCTGCTTCCGCCTTATAATCCCCTCCTGGTCCTGGCTGCCCCGCCTATAATCCCCTCCGGTCCCGGCTGCTCCGCCTATATCTCCTCCGGTCCCGGCTGCTCCGCCTATATCCCCCGGTCCCGGCTGCTTCGCCGATCCTCTCCGGTCCCGGCTGCTCCGCCTATATCCCCTCCGGCCCCGGCTGTCCCGCCAATCTTCTCCGATCCCGGCTGCTCCGCCGATCCCGTCCGGTCCCGGCTAGTCCCGGTTGCTCCGCCGGTCCCTTCCGGTCCCAGCCAAAAATAAGTTGAAAAGATGATTACGGCGGTAATCGATGCCAAAATTTAAATTTGATAACCGGGCTGAGCAAACAATTTATATGCACTTTGCTATGTATGACCCGCTGCAAATCGCTTTGTCCGGATCCTTGACATCGACGACGCACTTTTGTCGGATGGAGACCATCGATTCTGTTTGCCCCCCCCCCCCCCCCCCTCCTCCCTGCCAATAATTGTTGTGCCCGCCCTGAGTCACTAAGAAAGGTTCCACGGCAAACCAACGAAACATATGAGTGGTGGAGCAGGGCCAGTGACTACATGCAGTGGTATCCCACAATAATGTATATACGTATGTGGTGTAATAAAATGCGTGGTGAGTTTCTGAGTCCGATGTAGCACCGACTGATACCTGTTATATATGTAGTTATGATTTATAATGCGGGCACAGTATATCCTAATGCAATGTTTTGCGTGTTCCAGAGAAATCTTCTCGACTTGAGAATTCGACAGTGGTTTCAGATTTAAGCCCTATTTTTAGGTTCCGAGTCTTCATTTCCTCGACCCGATGATTTCCAGGATTCGGTTCTATTCTGGATCCTATTTCCGGATCTATTTTGCGAATCCGGATCCTCAGCTTCAAAACAGATGCGTGTTTAACAACAGCGTGATGAATGATGCGGTGTATTCTCCCCAATCTCACAGGATGCAAGCGCCTGCATGGGACTAACTGGATCCCCGTCAAGGCAGCGCGCTCTGGACAGTAGCTTGGAAAAAACGCAAAGCGATATCTTGCGGTAACAGCTTTTTCTGCACATCCCCTCCAACCGTCCCTTGTTCTGCACGCACCCGAAGTCCCCAATCATGGACGCTCCTGCCGGCAGGCACATCGCGCGCGAGCTGGGCGCCTTCACGCTGTTCGCCACCCACTTCCATGAGCTGTCAGCGCTGGCGGCCGAGGTGCCGGCCGTGCAAAACCTGTACGTGACGGCACTGACGGCCGGGCAGGAGCTCACCTTCCTCTACAAGGTGCAGCCGGGCGTCTGCGACCAGAGCTTCGGCATCCACGTGGCCGAGATGGTCAAGTTCCCGCGGCAGGTGATCGAGGTGAGGGAAACTCCGGTGGTTCCGGGCCGGCGGCGTGACGCTCCGTGGCGCGTGTGCCGGCGTCCAGCGTTCTCGGTCCGTCAGCTCACAGAGGCGACGTCCTGAACTGCTAACGTCGTGAATTGGCTGTGTAATCAGCAGTTTGGCGGTACAGCACATGCGCTTTGTCGCGCCTCTCTTCGACAGGTTATCGCGCCGCCTCCAAAGATCAGCGCACACTGGAGTCGTGTCAGACGCTTAGGAGCTGGCCGACGCGCCGTGCGACGGCCATCAGGGGCACGTCGCCCGCCGACCGCGAGATGCGGGGCTGTCGTGGGGTCCGTCTGACGCGGCTGTGGTGGCAGGACGCGCGCAGCCGAGCTGGCGAGCTGGAGGACTTCTACGGCTCGCACCAGGCGGCCACGGCCGAGCTGGCCGGCCCGCCCGAGAAGCGGGCCCGCGCCGACGGAGACCAGGTGGGCGGCGCTCAGACCCCGGGGACGGGCAGGCGCCCCGCGCCCTGGTATGGGAAGGGCGGTGTCTGTGATCTGGCTCCGTTCTAGGCTGGTGGAGTGCTGGCAGCAGACTATTTGTGATCGTAGAATTGCCTCGATGCGTTATGCCTCACCACATAGCTGTAATCTCCCCAAAGCAAAGGAAGTCTAGCATAAAGTTCAGTCGGCCATACGATAAACCGTTGTTTTAATGTAAAGCTGCCGAAGTCGAACAAAATCTTGCTCTGCCATGCTTCCGACGTTGTCAGGTGCCTTAAGAAACTGCGTGTTTGGGATCATAGTTTGGCGATCTTATGCGATATCGACACCAGTTCGCCCATTGCATGACACGGCGTCTGAATATAACGCAGTGGCGGTGAGTTTGCCGCCGGTGTCAGCTCGCAGCGGGGTTGTCTGTAACCCAGCTGTGCCAGCTCTCGTTCTGACGCGGCCCGCTGTCCTCCGCGCAGGAGGCGAGCGAGGTCATTAGTTCGTTCCTGGAGCAGTATGACCGACTGGGCGCCGACCTGAGCCCGGAGGAGCGGCGCCGGGCCGTCACCGAGCTCATGGACGGCGTCAGGAGCCGGCGGGACCCGTACGTCAGTCACGTGCTGTCCCGGCTGGGGCTCCACTGACCGGCGGGACCCGTGCGTCAGTCACGTGCTGTCCCGGCTGGGGCTCCACTGACCGGCGGGACCCGTGCGTCAGTCACGTGCTGCCCCGGCTGGGGCTCCACCGATCCGTGACGTTGTCCTGAAGAACTGTGCCATGTGACGAGGCTGTAGCTGTTGGTGCGGAATACACGGTTTTGTAAAGCTGATGGTGTAGATTGGTGCTGGAGGGACGATGGTGATAGACGACGGAAGTAGGAGATCGCCTGCTCTGCTTACGGTGCGGGTTTATGAGTGCCCTTTGACCTGCTACGGCGGTCACCCGCCTTGCGCCACCATCAGGGTCGTGGTTCGCCGTCCGTGCTAGGCTGACCTTCATGCGAGCCAGCATCCGGTGGCTTCCTGTCGTCAGCCGGTGGCCGGGGCAGCGGAACCATGGCGTTCTGTAAGAGCCTCAGCTTGCTCGCAGACTATCGTTCGGGCTGTTCGGGCTATCGAAGCTGACAACGTGTGCGGGTCGCGTGTGTGTTGATGGCGGGCAGTGCCCCGGAGCTTCGCCAGCAGTATGCCCCGGGGCGCCGCAGTCTGTCTGCCGAGCCCGTTTGCAGCGAAGCAGAATAGAGTCACTCTCGAGCCGGCCAGGAGGGAAGGGGAAATAGCGTCGAAATGAACAGGGATATTGATGCCAAACGGACAAAAAAGACGGTAGTGATACCCTTATTCCTGGTAGAATAACCAGGAGAATGGTGATATAGATGCGTTGATATTTCGGCAACATGCCTTTATTAAAACGAAAAAATATTCGTTTCAAAGCAAATTATTCAGTAGCTAGAAAAACGATCGGTTTTGTGGGCTTACGATGCGCTCGTAAAAGTCATGACACACATCGAATGATCACCCGTGCATACGGCGCCTACGGTGCATACGGTGCCGCGAGCATGCCGGCCCGAGAGCAAGAGATCGGCTCCGTTCGCCGCTAGGCCTCCACACGAGGCACTCCTCAGTGACTCGGTCCCATCCCCGGCCGGTGTTCGCTGAGGGGTGCACCCGCGGCCCGGGCGAGCGGGGAAGCGCGTAATAGGCTACGTCTCTGACGGCGCATGCTACACCGTGTCAGTGAGCAGGTCAGATGCGCTGCGACCCCGGCAGGGGGAAGAGTCGGGTACTCTCCAGGTGGCAGCACCACCGTCCAACTTGTGTGGTGGCGCTAGGAGCCAAACACGCTGCTGGCACCGGGGTACATTTCCGGTGCGAGGCGATGCGCCTCACGTTCGGGAAGCCCCGAACGATGGCGTGGTAACACCACGTGGTATATACTAAACGCGACGGGATTATGCGGCTGTAACTGTTCGCCATCTGTAACGCACAGGGCGAGACTGGTTTGTAGGTATGCCTATAATGCAGTGAAAAGGCGTAGGAC